GAGAGAGTACAGAGCGGGAGAGAAAGAGAGAGAGAGAGAGAGAGAGTACAGAGCGGGAGAGAAAGAGAGCGCGCGCGAAGGAGAGAGAGGGGGGGGTGCGAGCGTGTTAAGATGGCTATCGGCAAACTGACCCCAACGTGTTGTGACTCCGGCCACTGCCCCCTCGGCGTGTCAGGTGATGTGTCCGATCAACGCGACGGGACATTGACCTTGACATTGTTCACCTACGGCCATTATTTAATAATTATTTGGGAAAAAGAGATTTGATTACTGATTCAGTTTGATTTATATTAGTTTGTTTTAATTTAGATCGCTTCTTATCTTTGGTCATGTAGACGTTACTTAGTCGATTACACCATCCTCGTGGGATGTTATTTAATAATTATTTGAAAAAAATATTTAATTTTGATTAATTTTAATTTGTTTTAATTTTTATCCCATCATTATTTAATCAATGAGTGAAAAATGCACCGTGAATTTCACTCACTGGCAGCAGCACCACTATAGTTCAACCTTCACTCGACCTTTCAATTCTATTTTAATATCACAAACAAACGCAGAATCGTATCTTCGACAACAGTATAGAGTATATATAATAGCTACAGTTGTTCGCATCGGCGCCTCATCAAGGTCGCGTCTGATTCTAACAGACAGTCGGAAAAACCACCGACAGGATGTGATGGTGGCAGTGGCAGCCTCAGCAGCATCTACTGACGTGTGTGTGTGTGGGGTGTGTGTGTGTGTGTGCGTGCGTGCGTGCGCGTGTGTATGTGTGTGTAGCAGCTTACGCACACGCCCGCCGCCGCCGCCGCCGCCGCCCCCACGTACGTTGATACGAGCGTCTTCGTGCTACGATAGACTAGTACTAGACACACGGTAGATCCGCTTTCCCACCGAAATGCTATCCTCCAACGACAAACTTAACCTACCCTGCTTCCAGCAGAACCATGCCGACGCTTCACGCAGTGACAACGTCGATGCGAGACGGTGCAGGGTATAAGAATAAGAATTCGAGGAGATTTAGCCACTGGGCGTACACAGCGCGCGCACGCGAATAGCGGGGTTTAAGATTCCGATTTTTCAGAATAATTAATGACAGCCGGATCCGACATTGACAGAGGGTGGGTGGTAGGATGTTTGGGGTTTTGAAAACAGGGAGGATAATACGAAGGTGGGGAGAGTAGAGTGGGGGGTTGCTAGGGTGAGATGCTGGCTGCAGATGCGAATTAATGGGACTGTCGTGATTATGCAGGAGTCGTGTAATTAACGTGCAAACTCACAAGCGAACGTTCGCACGCACGCACGCACGCATATACACACCCACGCGCAACACACACACACACGAACGCATACACACGCACGC